AATCCACAGGTGTGCTCTAAAACCTGATTAGATATCGGTCAATTTAGGTTGCCATGGGAACTCGGATGGCAAACCAAAGAGGGGAGTGGATGTAATATACACTAAAAGTCTTATGCGCTCCTTGTTATCGTCTGCATTAAACAAACCCACTGACAATACATCGCATAATGTGTCTCTCTTGCTCACTTCAAATACTGAGAAACAGATGTCCCATTTTATATACCCCCCTTTTAAAAGCTATTAGTACTGGGTTGGGCAGTGCACATGAGAACATGAACCTACTTCAGAATGAGCCAGGCCGCTGGTTTATCAAGGTCAGTATTGTCTACTGAGACTGGCAGCAGCTCTCCAGGGTCTCATAGAGGTCTTTCAAATCACCTCCAACCTGATCCTTTTAACCGAAGATGATGGGGACTGAACCTGGGCCCTTCTGCATGTTGAGTAGTTACTCTGTCTTTAACCCACAGCCCCTCATCCAGGATAGGATGATGGGTGAAAACTGGACAGGGGCACAACATGGTCATGGAAAATTATCTGATTGTGTCACATTGAGAGGTGACATGATCGAGGTTTATAAGATTATATGTGGGATAGAGCAGGTCAGGCCTGTAGCCAGGATTTTTTAATTTGGGGGGGCCTAAGGGAGTGCCTGTGCTGGATGGGAAGTCGGGGAACCTTGGTGGTAAGTCAGGGGTCCGGGCCCTGAGATGCCCCACTATAGCTACGGGCCTGGAGCAGGTAGAGAAAGAAGTTCTTTTCTCCCTTTCTCACAATACGAGAACTCGTGGGCACTCCATGAAATGGCTGAGCGGTCGGGTTAGAACGGATAAAAGGAAGTCCTTCTTCACCCAAAAAGTGATTGACACATGGAATTCACTGCCACAGGAGTTGGTGGCGGCTACAAGCATGGACGGCTTCAAGAGGGAATTGGATAAGCATATGGAGCAGAAGTCCATAAGTGGCTATGAGCCGCAAGGTATAGATAGGAACTCTCAACCTGGGGCAAGTGATGCACTGTGTACTTGGTGCTTGGGGGGGGCAACAGTGGGAGGGCTTCTGGTGTCCTGGCCCCACTGCTGGACCTCCTGATGGCACCTGGTGTTTTTGGCCACTGTGTGACAGAGTGTTGGACTCGATAGGCCATTGGCCTGATCCAACATTGGCTTCCCTTATGTTCTTATGTTCCTAAATGAAAACCAGACATTGGCTGGCTCAGAGGCCAGGAGGCCAGGGTCAGTGAGAGTACTGCAGCTCCTTTTTGGCTCCATAACCACAGCTTTGCATAGGCACATTCAGCCTTTGAATAGTGGTGGCAAGAGGGGGGAGAATTGGACAAGTGGCTCATCCATTCTCTGTCTCCATCAGGAGGATTGTTAAATGGGTTCCAGGTGAACAACAGCAAAAGGTTCCTCATTCCTCCTTATTAGACTTCTGTAATTATGAAAAAAGAAAACTGGTTTTGTGATTATGGTTATCGTAGATGTTTAGCCAGAATTTTCCTTTTCCAGGATGGGTTAGACAAGTTGAGAGATTCCATCACAGCCTTTTTCAACGCTACTTCAGTAGACTTCATGGCTTTGGCTGCACTCAGGGCCTAAAGACACACACAGGCTTTTAAAATAAAATAGAACAATCCAAGGAGGGGTTTTGGCTGCAGGAACAGAAGCAGTGAAATAACCTCAGAGGGAAGATGGATCAGCTGACTGTTTCATTATTCATTTGCCAGAAGGATCCATAGTTTAGCTGAAGCAGCAGTTTCTCACAGATACAGCAAGGTATTGAACGCTGGGAGGCTAGGGAGATGGCAACTTGCTGGCCCATAATATGGAGAGGCAATGAATACAGATTAGGGATGCTCAAAACAGTCGCCAGTTCAGCTCACTTCCCGTTCACCAGTGGTGAACAAACAGCCAATTAAACAACAGGCCATTTGGCTGTTCACAGTATGTTCATGTGCATTCACAGTGATACGCTACTTGCCGCTATCAGCAGCAGTGGACTCTCAGCGGATGAAGGATCAGCTGAGAGTCGGTGTCTGATCTCCTGCGGGGGAAATTTTGCTCTGTGCCAAGCAACGGGTTGTTTTGGGGAAGGGGGATTAGGAATGGGCTATCCCTTGAGCTGCGGTGGCTCAAGTGGTTAAGACGCTGAACTGCAGACTGTGGAAGGTCGGTAGGTAAGCAGTTCGAGACCCGAGTGCCACTTGACGGAGTGAGCTCCTGTCTCTGGTTCCAGCTCCTGCCACCCTAGCAGTTCAAAAGCAAGAAACTGCAAGTAGATAAATAGGTACCGCTTTGGTGGGAAGGTAACAGCGTTCCACGCGCCTCGGCATTTTTTCATGCTGGCCACATGACCACGGAAACATATTTGGACAGTGCTGGCTCTTCGGCTTGGAAACGGAGATGAGCACTGCCTCCCAGCGCCGGATTTGACTGGCTTTTGAGCAAGGGAAACCTAACATTTCCCTTGCCAGTTTGGTGTCGTGTTTAAGTGCGCGGACTCTAATCTGGGAGAACCGGGTTTGATTCCCCACTCCTCCACTTGCACCTGCTGGATGACCTTGGGCAAGCCGTAGTTCTGGTAAGAGCTGTCCTTGAAAAAAGAGCAGTTTCTGTCAAGAGCTCTCTCAGCCCCACCTACCTCACAGGGTGTCTGTTGTGGGGAGGGGAAGGGAAAGGAGTTTGTAAGCCACTCTGAGACTCCAAGTAAAGGGCAGGTTATAAATCCAATCTCTTCTCTTCTTCTCTTCTCTAACATCCCATCGGCCTTGGAGGCTTCAGACAAAACAACTATACATCTTGCATGATTTGTATTAATGCTACTCAGCCTCCTGGCTCAGGGTCCACTCCCACATTTGGGTACAACTTGGCTCCACTTCTCCATCTGAATGGAAAAATTGACTTTCAGTCTTCAAAGGGCATTTTGGGCATTCTGCTGTCCCTTAAAGATGATCACACAGGGTTCCTTAGAAAGCTAGAGCAGCTGGAAATGAGTTGTTTCCCCTCCTCAGCAAGAGTTCACTCTGATCAGGGGCTGGGCATTCACCCCAACATTTTGTCAAACCCTGGCCTCGTTTGCCATGGGTTTCCTAACTGTTAGTCTGTCTTTGGTTCTGTATGCTCTTTCATTCTAGCTGGGGGGGGAGGGGAAGTATGTGAATGTGGGTGGGGTGTGTGTGAGAAGAACTGTTTTGTTGAAGAGTTGCGCGAGGTTCTAACTGTGCCTATGCGGGGCCTCCCTTCTCTGGGAAGAATGTGTGCTTGACCTTGACTACCAGAGGGTGCGTTCAGATGGCTCTTTAGATCTGCGTGAGGCATGAGTGCCTCATGGATTTAAATGTAATGGCCAGACATCAACATCTGGGAAATGTCTGTCTTCCATGAGCATCCCATTTTGCCGCGCTTCGGAGCAGTACTAATAAGGTACTAGTTAAAATCTGGAGTTTTTGGTTCCGACGGGCCAATCGTGGGCTTGCCCCCATCTGATTGTTCCAGTGCACAATTAAAAAATGGCGCCCGTTTGGGATGGTCTGACGTCCGACCATTCCGAATGGGCACCATTTTAAAAAAATCTTGATTCTGCACATGCGTGGATAAACAAGGCAACGATATCACACCTATGCGCATGCACAAAAAGGGACCTAACAGAAGCAGAAGAGATTAGGAAAAGATGGCAAGAATACACAGAAGAACTATACAAGAAAGACCTCGATGTCCTTGACAACCACGACGGTATAATCACTGACCTCGAGCCAGACATCCTGGAATGTGAAGTTAAATGGGCCTTAGAAAGCATTACTAACAACAAAGCTAGTGGAGGTGATGGTATCCCAGCTGAGCTATTCAAAGCCCTGCCAACAAAAGTCCGCATGGTCAAAGCAATGGTATTCCCAGTAGTCATGTATGGCTGCGAGAGCTGGACTATAAGGAAGGCCGAGCGCCGAAGAATAGATTCTTTTGAACTATGGTGCTGGAGGAGACTCTTGAGAGTCCCTTGGACTGCAAGAAGAACAAATCAGTCAATCCTCAAAGAAATCAACCCTGACTGTTCCCTGGAAGGCCAGATAATGAAACTGAAGCTCAAATACTTTGGCCACCAAATGAGAAGGGAGCACTCACTGGAGAAGACCCTGATGCTTGGAAAGATTGAAGGTCAAAGAAGACGGGGACGGCAAAGGATGAGATGGTTAGACAGTGTCATCGATGCAACGAACATGAAGTTGAGCCAACTTCAGAGGACGGCAGAAGACCGGAAGGCCTGGAGAGAGCTCGTCCATGGGGTCGCGAAGAGTCGGACTCGACTGTGCGACTGAACAACAACAACAACAACAAAAATAAATAAAAATAAACACCTCACTGCGCATGCCTCCTTCAGTGGATGCTATAGCGGAACCCTTTATTTCTAAGGGAAGGGTTCACATGGAAAGCTATAAAACAAAACAGATATCTAGAGCTACATTTTTACATCCTTACCGCACAGAACACATGGTCACACACAATAGAGTTTCTTCTTCTTGACTCCTAGAAGGTAGTCACCTGAACACAGTAAGCAATGATTGCTAGTAAACAGACTTAGGTTTTCCTGGGCTATATTCCCATTGACTCTGAGCCAAGTTTCCCTTCAAGGTTAGTCTAAACAACAGTACACTAGGTAAAGCAGATTAACCCTATCATGACTGGAATCTAGACCTTGGAAGTCACACATTTCCAACACCAATTCTTTCTGGTAACACTGGCCATTGCACCAAAGACACAGCGATCTCTGCTGCATTCAGCAATAACTCTTTTAGGAGGTAAACCACCTAAGCTCTCCAGAATGTATAAAACCATGTTTTGAAGCTCTGTGCCAAGCAAGCCCCTTTGCGGCCGTGTTCTGATGGACAATGTGTCTTTGGTGTGAATTTAACCTTTTCTCCCATCCCAATTGGAACCTTCTGTGGTGATCAGTTTACTCTGTGGCTTCATAGTATCAAATGTATTGTGATCTTTTTATCTTTATAGGAATCACTCTCTACAGTTGTCCATATGGAGGAGCATTGCTAGACGAAGATAAGATGTAAGTGCAATGTTAAACGTGTATTTAATAGCTATCAATGGGAGTAGTTATTGAGAGATGTTAGTGGACCTGGATAGCTCAAAATAGCTTTATTTTGCCACATCCTGGAAGTTAAGCAGGGTCAGACCTGGTTAGTATTTGGATGGGAGTCTATGTCACAGCAAGCTATGGCAAACCACCTCTAAATGGCTCTTGCCTTGAAAACTTTAGGGGGACGCCATAAGTTGGCTGGGAGTCGATGGGGAAAAAAGAGTTAATGGAAGTAGAAATTTCAGAAACTGCAAGGAAAAAAAAGATTTCCCTAGCTCTCTGTTTCCCCTGCACCTCCTGAAGTATTGCTCCCAAGGTAACTTCTGGTACAATGAAGATGTGGTATGGGGGGCTACAGCAGGAAGAGAAATTGGTATGAGCAGGGCTATTTTTAGGCAGGAACGAGTTCTAGCTGGCTTCAGAGTTGGCCACGCCCACTACAACCAAAACCTACAGGGGGAAGGCCTGGCGAGCAACCCCCCCCAGTGACTCCGAGGTGGGTGGGCCAGGGGGCCCCTGGAAGGATCGGGGAGGCATTTAAATGCCTCCCCCGGCCTGTCCAAGGGCTGGCTTGCCCAGGCTCCCTGCAGCCGCGAGGCGACCGGCAAGCCAAGGGAAGGCATGGGGTTGTGGCCTAATATGGTAATGAGTTTATCCTGTTGGGTGTGGCCTATTATGCTAATGCGTTCCTGCTGGGCTTTTTCTACAAAAAAAGCCCTAGGTATGAATAGCCTGTTTACAGAAAGTCAGGTTTGGATCCAAGCTGTAAATTATGGGCTAGCAACTGAGAGTTTTCGGGTAGAATCCAGCCACCCGAAGGTCACCAGGTTGTTTACAATTGAGAGTATAAATGCTGAAAATAATTCCGCATCCATATTCCAACTGAACAGACTATTTGGTGCTGAGTTAGGAAGGGGAAAAAAGGAAAAAAGAAGGGGAGGGATCCAAAGCCTGTGTCGTTGCATTAAAATGCGACTTGCTTTATCACAACTTCATTTCTGGCTTCGAAACTCAAATATTCCAAAATTTTGCAAGTTCAGGGAATTTACCAAATGGGGGGCGGAGTCAGTGTGTTTGTGCTTTGTGTGTGAGAAGAGTGCACACCGATGGCTTTTCCTGAGCAGTTATTGTAGACTCATGAATATGGCTGCCAAGAAGTCACCGCAGAGCTGTTCTACTCGTGCCGATTTCTTTTGAATCCCAGAATGGAGAATGTCCGTCAGTGTGGAGTTGCGCTCTGCATTGTGTTGGGGTTCTCAATACTTACCGCCTCCATTGGAAGCTCCATCGTGAAAGACAGGGCATCTGGGGCCAAGCGTCTGCAGCATATCTCTGGACTGGGCTACAGGACGTACTGGCTCGCTAACTTTCTCTATGACATGGTATGTAATATTTATTTATTTTTTTTTATTTTTTTTTTTGACTTCTATACCGCTCCTTCCCGTAGGCTCGGAGCGGTTTACATGTAATTAGTTATACCTATCTAGGGCCACAATGATACAGGGGAAGGTGACAGCCTACCAGCACCCAGGCAGCAGGGCTCTCTCTTTCTTCTCCCGGCTCCTTCATGGTGGGCACTTCACCTCCTGGCACGGCGTTTTTTTGGCATAGCTCTTATTCACAGCGACTCCTTCCGGTGAGACTTTTTCCCTGCACACGGCTGTGCGACGGCTGCAGCTGCGATCTACGTCCAATTGGCTCTGTCGCACCGCGACATAATGTAATGTAATGTGTATGGCATCATCTCTATGCATAGGCTTGGTGCCCCTGTGCTTTCGGAAAGCTGTAGGCCTCCTTTTAAAAGCCTAGGTCCTTTTACAGTGGACTGTGGCCAATGTGGGGTACTGATTACAATGCTGGACTGGGATTTGGGAGCGTTGGGTTGGAGTCCCCTCTCTTCTGTGGATTCCTCACGCTATTGGCTGACCTTGGCCCAGTCTTAGCCAATCTCAGCCTGCAGGCTTGTTGTGACGATGACATGAGAAAGGCAGAACTGCTCCACTCTAAGGTTGGATAGGCTAAAACTGTCCTTGATAAGATACATGGCGTTTCATACTAAATTTAGAGGTTCCTAACTGGGCCAAATGGAGCTGCGGTGGCTCAAGTGGTTAAGACGCTGAACTGCAGGCTGTGGAAGGTCAGTAGTTCAGCAGTTCGAGACCTGGGTTGCTGCATGACGGAGTGAGCTCCCGTCTTTAGTTCCAGCTCCTGCCAACCTAGCAGTTCGAAAGCAAGAAATTGCAAGTAGATAAATAGGTACCACTTCGGTGGGAAGGTAACAGCGTTCCGTGCGCCTTGGTGTTTAGTCATGCCGGCCACATGACCACGGAAACGTCTTCGGACAGCGCTGGCTCTTCGGCTTTGAAACGGAGATGAGCACCACAACCCTAGAGTCAGATTCGACTGGCTTTCGAGCAAGGGAACCTTTACCTTTAATTGGGCCAAACATGCCAGGGGGATCCTTCTTTGCATTCCTCCTCCCATTGCAGTCCACCCCACCCCACGGTACTGTTCCAGGGAAACTGGGAACCTCCAGGACTTACCTGAGGGGAGAGCTTGGAGGTCTACAGAAGGAAGAATAGTTGGAAATCATGCCCCCCTTCCATCTGTGGAAGGGATCAGCACGATCCAACCCATAATCCAACCCAGTTCATACAAGTGACAGAATATAGGTTGAGTTTCAAGGAAATTGAATAATAAGAATCCCGAAGAATTTTTTGCGGACTGGTTGGATTTTAAAGAATATTTAGAGAAAGATTGGGATGCGAAGAATAATTTGTTTTCTTTAGAGAATTATTAAGAATAGAGTATATAAACTCCGAGATAGAGAAAAGTCAAAAATGTATGTATTGAACTATAGGTTACCGGTATAGAAATAAGGGTTATGGTTGTTTTTGTTAGAGATAAGAAGATCAAGAAGAAAAGGTATAAGGGAGAGGCTGGGAGCACTGCGGGAAGCCCGACGAAGAGGGGGTGGGGGGAAGGAAAAGGGATACGTATCAATTATAATATTTAGATGTCAAACGTGATGTAATATTCCTATAATAAAAATTGTTTTTTAAAAAAGGAATATAGGTTGAGTTTCCTTCCTTGGCACATCTGGTTTTTGGGGAAAGGAATTTGCAGGGACATCCCAGAAGTCTCTAAAGGGAACAAGTGACCAATGCTCCCTCTAAGCTGTGGAGTCTTGTGAGCAAAAATTTTACTTTGTGAGCTACTGGCATTAAAGTTGCGAGCGAGCCATTTGGCTACTGCATCCATTCGTTTGCTCTGGAGCCCTCCTTCCTGAGCGGAGACAAAAATGTGTGAGCCGGAGGCTAAACAACTGTGAGCTAGCTCACACTAACTCAGCTTAGAGGGAACACTGCAAGTGACTCATGCCTTTATGGGCGTGCTCCCATTTACTTGCTATTACGGACTGAGGAACTGAGAGTTTCCAGCAGCAGCAGCTAGGAATGCCTCTGCGCTTGCAGAAGTGTAGGTGTGTAAACTGATGGGCACCGTCATGAATGTCCTGCTTTTTCCCACCCTTCTGTAGCTGTTGTATTTGGTTCCAGTCAGCCTGTGCATTGGCGTTATCACCGTCTTCCAGCTATCAGCTTTCACTTTCCGCGAGAACTTGGCAGCCACCGCCCTCCTGCTGATTCTCTTCGGGGAAGTGATTGGAAGAGCCTGCTCCACCGCGGTAGCTGATGTCTCAGAAGCAGAAATCTGGGAGGCTCGCTCTGCCTGCTGCTCGGACGCGTGAGGTTTGTGCTCGGTAGATGATTACGATTTCACAGAGCAGATTGAGAGAGCAAGCTGTGACAGGCGGCTGAATTTGCTGGGTGGGAGAGATTTCCCGCACTCGCAAGGAGAAAAGTTTCCAAGGAGATCATGAACTTGTGCAAGATCCATTGACTATTAGAAACCCTTGTGTCTTACCTTTCCCAAAGGACTCTTCAGGGTGTCAAAAATTATTTTAAAAAATGTGGCCAAAAGGCTATCAATCGGTGTTTTGTTTTCTAAAGATTTCAGATATTGTCCTGTAAATATTCTGTCCATTAAGAAATTTAGACAGTTTAGTACTCTGATCTTGTATAGAATATCTCTCCTATTAGGAAGAGAAAGGTGAAGGAGGAGGTCACTACTGAAAGGTATATTGATGGCCAGTAGCTTAGGATGAAACAGGACGAGCATGACTGAGCTATTGAGCTGAATATTATCTACTCTTAATGGCAGCAACTCTCCAGGGTCTCAAATGGAGGCCTTTCACATCACCGGTCACTTGATCCTTTACCTGGAGATACCCGTGATTGAACTTGGGACCTTCTGCATGCAGCTCCTCACTGTTATAGAGCTGATAACAAATAACGTCTTGTTCCCTTTCGCTACAATAATCTCCATTTCCTGTCACATGATGTGATAGGACATCATCAGTTCGTGAGATAGTATCAGCCAATAAGAATTCTTACTTCAGCATGTTTTGTGGGGTATTTGTTTTGTTCCACCCACTTTCATTTGGATGGAGAGTACCTGTAGAAATTCTCCTCATGAAAAGAAACAGCATTTCATGCCTCAATTCATGTTACTGAAAGCGATGGTTTTCACTGTGTCTCCTTAGTTCAGCTTTTAACCAAACCAATAGACTGTTCCGATTAGCATCCTATCTCCAAGTGACATGGTTTATCAGTGTTCAACAACCTCCCCCCCCCTTTGTGTATGCCCACCCAGGAATCCACCCTGATGAGTGGTCTCTTTTTAGCAGGGTGTGTCAGAAGTTGTGCAGGTGTAGACTAAACAAGCCCAGTGATGTGATGCAGGTTTTCTGCCCTAACCAGTTTGGTGTAGTGGTTAAGTGCGCGGACTCTAATCTGGGAGAACCGGGTTTGATTCCCCACTCCTCCACTTGCACCTGGCTGGATGACCTTGGGCAAGCCGTAGTTTTGTCAGAGCTGTTCTTGAAAAAAGAGCAGTTTCTGTCAAGAGCTCTCTCAGCCCCACCTACCTCACAGGGTGTCTGTTGTGGGGAGGGGAAGGGAAAGGAGTTTGTAAGCCACTCTGAGACACCTTTGGGTAGTGAAAGGTGGGGTATAAATCCAATCTCTTCTCTTCTTCTTCTAACGTGCAAAACTTCAGCTGTTTCAAAACTTCACCTGCCTCGAAAATTCAATCTTGTTTTCGTCTGTTCTGAATCTATGGCAGTCAGATACAGATTTCTCTTGATATTGTCAAGTGTGAAGGCTAGACTGTGTATTTTATGTAGTTCAGAGATGTATTTTCTGATAGATTTCAGAAAAACCTGGATTAGAAGATATGCCTTGGGCTTTGAACCTGACTTCTGGCACATAACTCTTCTACCCTGATCCAAAATACATTTACTCAGAACTAAAATCCTATTGATTTTTTTCGTAGGACCTACATGTGCTTGCCATGGGCTGCCTTGGGCACCTGCTCCATCACCCACATGAAGCAAGCCTCTTTTATTAAATAGATACGGTGGCCATCCCTAGAGAAGCCGAGGCTGCAGTGCTTGTGCTTTGGAACTGAGTGGGACTGACTCGGGGTTGGGCTGTAAATTGCCATGTAGTCAATGGCAGATAGTAAATGGGAACGAGGCACACTTGAATGCAGGATGTCACCAGAGTGGCGTGGGGTTAATAGGATGATCGATATGCCGATGCTTCATGCAGATGAACCGTATCTGTTTTGCAGTGGAGGGCAAACATTTCCCAAGGCCGTCATCAGTCGATCTTGCCTCTTGCTGTGGTGAGCAGTGAGGAATTAACCATCTCAGACTTGCACTAAGAAGGTGCAAAATCTTCCCTATTTCCATGGAGGTTTCCATCTTGATGGGGGGGGGGGAATAACAATGGGGCATGTTTCAGACCTCTTCTTGCAAATGTCATCTGATGTATCTGGTGCTGTACTTAGTTCTCATCAACTATTTTTTGATGCTTAATCATATCTCCTTATTGATAGAGCACGCATAACTAGTGCTTTTCACTGGTCCTCCATATTATTTAAATGAGCAACTTCTTGGATAAGCCATCACTTGTTCCCCCACCCCAGTCATATGTTTGTGAACCTTTGACTGCTATTCAGCTGCTCGGTCTTGCAGTCAGGGCAATTTCTACTTCGGAAAATGACAGTCATAAAGATTCCCAGCCTCTGCAGCTCATGACCTACATGCATCATGAGTGCAGAAGGAATTTCCCAAGAAACTCCTGGTCATCCAGTCACCGTGGCAAGACATGTTTTATTGAACTGAGAGTCAACCCTGGAAGTGAGCTTCTCAAGAGGGTAAGATATAAAGCAGCAGGGCTATTTCTGGGCAGGAACGCACAGGAACGGAGTTCCGGCTGGCTCCTGTGTTGGCCACGCCCAGCAGGAACTCATTAGCATAATAGGCCACACCTAACAGCAGGCACTCATTAGGATTGGCTACATTAGGGGTGTGTGGCCTAACATGCAAAGGAGTTCCTTCTACAAAAAAAGCCCAGGGTTTTGACAACAAAGTAAACAGAATAAGAAGCAAAAGGTGGGTGTGGTTGGATGACCACACGTCTGGTAACATGTGGGGTGTGGCCTAATATGCTAATGAGCTGTGCTGTCAGGGGCGTGGCCTAATATGCTAATGGGTTTCTGCTGTTGGGTGTGGCCTTTTATGCTAATGAGTTCCTGCTGGGCTTTTTCTACAAAAAGAGCCATGTAAAAGCAGGAATACGCTCCACCACCAAGCCATGTGTATTCCTAAACCTTAACAGCTCCCTTATTTTCAGGGATGCAAAATGAATTCTTAAAAGAGAAAAAGAAGAGAGTCTCAGAGTGGCTTACAAACTCCTTTTCCCTTCCAATCCCCACAACAGACACCCTGTGAGGTAGGTGGGGCTGAGAGAGCTCTTGACAGAAACTGCTCTTTTTCAAAAACAGCTGTTATCAGAGCTAAGGCTTGCCCAAGGTCATCCAGCCAGGTGCCAAGTGGAGGAGTGGGGAATCAAACCCGGTTCTCCCAGATTAGAGTCCGCACACTTAACCA